CTCGTGAGGAACGTTAAAATTATTTTGACCTGAGTAGCTTACATTTTTAAAAATCAATCTCTTTTAAAAATATTGTGTTCGGCTTATACATCCCTTAAATGACTTACTGGATTTTAAGTAGCATGAATTCACAAGCTCCCGAATTAAAGGTTAATCGTGGTCCTAATTACTGGTCTGTGAAACGCATGAAGAATCAGGTTGTGTACCAAATGTGATGCTTAACAGAATGGAACAGATGTGAACTAGGAGACGAAAGGCTTATATTTGAAGAACGATAAATATTTACTTATTTGGATATGAAACAAAATAGCAAAAATCGTTTAAGTAACCTAAAAATTCATAATCGCTATTAATCTTTTTATCAAGCACCGACCTCTTATTCTCAAGGTGAGTCTACGTTTGCATGCAGTGGGCAGTTTAGGTAGAACAGCGAAACTAACAAAAAGTCAAAAACAGGATACTAAGAAGCCGCAACCACAAAAGTACAAGTCATAATGAATACTGAAAAGACTGAGTTTTATGGTTATAAAAATATATTCTTCTATGACAGCGCGTTACATTTTTTTAAGTAACTAAGATCATCCCAATGAAGGAATTTTACCATAGGACCCTCGTCAAAATTTAGATCACTGGGAAATTCTATTGGAAAGAATAAACTTTCATATACTACCTTATGCTTTTGGAATATAAATCTGTATTTTTTGTATGTTTTGCCGACTGAAATATAAACAGTTTCCTAAGTAGACTGGTTTGACCAGTGCACTCTGCTAGCTGAAGTATACGGCAGAAAGATGAGATATGTAGCTAATCAGAACAGCTTTCGGCTTTACCATATCTCCTCATGAAGTACCTATCGTTTCTCACATTGAAACTTATAAGTAGGCATAAAGAAAATACTTTTATCTCCCAAAAAACTCACAATATCACAACGCCCAAATGGATGATGAACGACGTAATAAAAACGGATTCACAGTTTCATTATTCTGGGGAAAAGTACGTCAATTTTCAAAATGTATCCAACATTCATCAACCTACAAATCTAACCGAGATAGTCAAGTGATTATTCACTACTAAGTGTTGTCATTTGCCTGACGAAATTTTTTGAAATGAATTTCTCAGTTCAGTGAAATTAACTGGTTGGTTCGACACTGAGGCGAATTTAAAAAAAACGTGGGTTGATCCAAGAATGCGAATTCTTCCACTTGCTGAGATATAATATTTCTGTTACTTTTATTGTACCAGAAGTTAGGCTTAAACGCATAGTGAATGCTTTCATCACTTTTTAAGTCTATGGAGTATTTTTCACACGATTTTCTCCATAGTCTTCTTTGTTGCTTCGTATCTGTGTATTCACATGCACCATCTTCCCCTTTCTTTCCTGAGTAGGGTTTATTGTTCTATCCAATGTTTCTTGCGTAAAATATCACAGGTTGAATTTGGGTCTTTGATGCATGTTTATAGTAACTGTAGTAATGTCAAATTTTTGACATTTTGCGATTAAACGTTTTAACTTTTTTTATCAAGATCGCGTTATATATGAAGGAAATTCAGAGTCATCGGTGCAGTCAACTACTCTTCCTGTACTCGGTTCAAGATGATATGCAGTGCGATTGGTACGAGATGGTTTCACAAAATCTGTATCAATTCATCACTAGCCTTGCGAAACCGTTGCTGCAAACCGACGTCAGTGAGGCCATGTGGAGAATGCTAATTCACTAGTGCGGTTCTCCTAGATGAAGCCTTGAAGCTTCTCACTTCGCTGAACGAGTTACCAAGTGTTGATGCCCGCTCGGCAGTCTTGATATCATAAGAGGTTCAGCCGACAGTGCTATCAGCTCAGCTCTTGCTCCTGCTAGGTAGACTGAAAGAACAACTTTCGGTTCACTCAAAGAAGAGACGAACCTTATTCAGTCATTCGTTAAGCGTAATTGCAATACTCCCCGTACTGATAGGAAACCTGTTGAAAATGGATACACTTTAAACATTGCTGACTAGGTGAATGCAGCTATTTGATGAACAGAAAGAGGAAGGCTCTCACAAAAAATATCAGGTAGCACAAACGAATAGATTCATCCGAAAGTCAAAATCACTAATTAAAGAAAACCTTCTGGAGTTAGTTTGAAAGAGACAACAACGCATTCAAAATCCATGGACACGATTCTCACAAAAGCCGAATTGGGTCAGAGATTTTATGTCTGGATCCTGCTGGAATCAAAGAAAAAATAACCATTCTAATGGTATGCATTTTATCTGGATTTAGTGGGACGTGTCATCAGAAACGCACTGCCAGAATAGATTCTGTGAGTTCATATTACTAAGATAATAAAACCCAGTAAGTTCGTCGAATGCAAGATTCAGAAAAAGAATATCTTGAAGTTAGGACTCAGAAGTAGCGAGAGTAGGGACTTCATAGCAAACGAGACATATAAAACTAGCAATTCGAATATTCATGTCCGACCACATTGCTTACTTGAGGATCCAGTGAAGTGATAGGATGCGCTTACTGAGTTAACAACTTGGAAGCAAAGTGGCAGAACAAACCCCAAATTCAGGTTTTTCGGGCTGTCAGGCCTTCGAGTCCAATGTTTCCGAGGCCTTTATGGATAGAATTGGTGATATACAAGACACCTCTAGTTTGCTCAACAAAACATTAGTAGTCTTAAGTAAAAAACGTTTGAGCTCACCTTCATGAGGGATGAAGTAAGTTCCGATGCAATTATTTTCAAAGAAACGTGACTCACTCCGATCACTGCAGAATACATCTGCATTAGAGGTAATAGATTTAAAGATCACTGGAGATATTGTATGTTAGAGATCACATTCATATGCAATCGAACGCACCAGAGGGGCATGATAATGACTGTCAGGTAGCTTGTCGAACAATTAAATCCAGACGTAGGTTAGTGACCATAGGAGTAATATACCATAATCCACAGTATTGTGCTGACGACTTTATCCTTAAGTTAAATCATTGCTTAGTGTAAAGCTTACTGTTGTCTTACCGTTGAATATTTCAACACCCTGAGAATTGATCAGACAGAGCTTACAACTTCAGGTGTATATTTTGTTGATTGCCCGCTGTCAACCATTATCCACTGTGCACTTATGCAATGTATCAGGAAGTCAACACGAGTTGGCTCGTACTATGAACTATCATTCCTAGATCCTATCGTAACACACCACTGTGATGATGTCATCGATATTTAATACCTCCGCTCACTAGTGAACAATTATCACAATGTTCTGTACGTTAGGTTTTGGACACGACATACAGTATGCATCAGCCCAACTCCGTCCAAATATCTGATGGGCTAACTTTCTGGTAATCACAAACTGTGCTAATTCAACAGACTGGTCGATCAATGAAGACAGATCGGTAGAAGACGAACTGGATAGGCTTAAAGCCACATCAGAGAGCAGCATTGTCGTTCGCTTCATGGTGAACATGTAGTGGCATTGGACAATAGCCACATAATCCACAAAGCTGTGAACACGAGACTACACAAAAAATAGATATTCAATATTTAACGCGGAGAAATACCCAACGATGGGGAAGGCGCGAATAATGAATTGAATGGACTGGAGTTGATCGAGTGGCATGGCTCGGCCATGCAGGCGTGGTCTCTGCTGAATGTTACCTTATATCTTCTATTCATATTAAATATATTGTTCTTTCTCTAGCCTAACCTTGTTCTTCATCATGTATTGGTAATTGATACGATACAGTGAGTTGGTGTAGTCGATGGTGTGACTTCCACGTAAGATCTTATAGATTAGGCAGTTATATCATGACAAATCTACAAATTTAGGATTAGGTCTATTATTAGAGCAGTACTAATATCATAGTAGACTATAGTTCTATAAATACACTGGCCTCCAATAATTGATTGGGAAGGTCGATAGCTGCTGCGGCATAGGAAACATTATTGGGCTTTGTTCTCATTAATGAGACACGAATGCCGAAAAGCCCAGAGTGTACTTAAGAAGAACATAGCCAGGTGCCGCGTCATTTACGAAATACAGTTGGCAAATGATGGCAATCTCAAGCCCGAAAGATTATCTTCATACACTGAACGATGAAGAAATGTAGTGACAGAATCCCATCATTATTGTGGCATGAAAATCCGGATGCACCGTACAAATCAGATTTCACCAAAGTCGAGAATGTATCAAACTATTTCGGTGAGCACTAATCAATGGGTATTGTCAACTTCACTTTCTATTACCGTACCACTGGTGAACCTGTGTGAAACCTCACGTAGAGTATTATATTCGAGCAGCCGGTCTACGACTTACTAAAGATCATATTACACTGAAAAATTCAGAATTGACTGATCACTGGGTGATGATCAATGTTATGTGTGTCAGGCCGTTCTTAGTGCAGATCGAATGTTAACGACCAAGTTGCAATGTGGCCACTAGTCTACGTGACTCGACATTGTGTGCACTGTGTTGAGATAAGATGGTGGTCGGGGGTAGTCAACAGGAAACCCTGGACCCGAGTGCTGAGCGAACTTCATGACAGGTCCTTCCAACTCACCCTACGATAAGAGCTAAAAAGGTTTAAACCTATTTCCCATGTCATAGCATGCGAAGTCACTTGCTTTTTCGCCTGCTTCATATCCATTCATCTCTAGGGCCACAGTAAGAGGGTTCTAGAAAGTAAGACTAAGGACCCCGTTTTTCTCATGAATTGGTCAGAGAATGGAATATCGTACCTAAACGAGTGGCATAAGCCCCATCAGTGAGTGCATACAAGAAGAAGCTAAGTTTCCAGTAGAGAACGATTCGCAGGGACTGGCACGATTTCACCAACCCATTGTTCTTATTACCGAAGAGTAAGTATTGAATTGACATATTTGTTATAACGATTCAGTTGTATGAACTCTTTTGCTGTCGTCTTTGAAGTTTGATTTAAGTTTCTGAGTTCATTGCCGTTTTTCTATGAGTCTTGAAGTCTTCCATAAAAACTTCTGCATACCACAAAGAGTTTGCATTTGATGAGACCTCAGAATTTTCTGGAGTGTCTTGATCACGAAACCAACCGGTAATGAATAAAGTTGATTTTAATTATGTTTAGTTAATGAGTTACTAAAACTCCATTCTTTTGTAATCACAAGAGACCAGAGTTATTTTTTAATGTAATCAAAAATGTAGTATGTAGTTTTAAATACAATTTTTATTTTGTGATAACTGTTATGAAAGGGTGTTTTCTATATATATACCCCAATTTCATTATCTTTGAGAAATTTTACGATTCCCCCGAAAGCTGTAAGAGATATAATAGCTTTCCCCAGAACTAATGAAATTTTGAGGTTGTTGTACCACTCACTCGAACCGGAAAAATTTTCGTAGTTGAATTTAAGATGCCTAACCACTTACAATGGGGAACAACATTTGATCTGCAGAAAGAAATATGGTTTGACCCATATTGACGCACTATCCTTTCGACGAAATAGCTTCCCTAACAATTTAGTTACGACGTACTAATGCAGTATTAGACTTGAAATAGAGAACATTTTACATTACGTTTCAAACAAACAAACATACAAATGCTGATGTTATGCACTGATTCCTAGTACATAGAAGTTTCGACATAATTTCAGGCAACACTGAACTCACAAACATGAAATTTAATTGCAGCAGTAATTTTGGCTAAAACGCAAAAGATGTCTTAGAGGCGCTAGCAGAATCAAATAATGTAAGTAAACAAATAAAACGTAGAAACACTTTTTTACTTATTCGAAACGTTGAATGTGTTCGTCAGTTAATAGTCCTAAAATGAACGATATGAATCAACTTTGTATGAGGAAATGCCTAGAGGCACCGTCTAGGCATTAAGTGCAAGTTTATATCCTGATGTATATACCGATGTATGTATTTTTAGTAGTTGTTTATCATGTTTATTTTTACCCACAATTTACATCTAATTAATATATTAAGATCTCGCAGATTGTCTCTATCTTTTGCTCAATGGGTTTTGATTTGACTTTTCCTGTGTGTGATTTGTATCGACAGTTGCTTAAAAAAGGCTAATACTGATATGTTCATATCAAACGACACCATAACACTAGTCTCAACATTCAAAATCTTATACAGGTGAAACAAAGCCATCAAGTTTCAAACTTTTCTTTTATCTTAGTCAATACGGTGCGACAGGTGCACTTGTCATTCAGATTAACTTAATCTCGTTCCCATTTTGCATTTCAATAATGATGATTTTCCTACTTCTCAAAGATGTTGGTCCTCTTCTTTAAAGTTACCGTTCTTCATACACCACGACGGTATTTAGACACATTATGTTTTTTAACATGATTGCATTTATCTACCGTTTTGTTCATTAATTTTTCCCACAGTTACAAAGCATTTATCAAACGTGTTGAAGTGTAATGTGAAGTTTAAACGTCAGGTTGTTTGTTTAGGATATATGTATTGTAATTTTTGGACGATAAGTCATTCAGTATTCCTAATAACGACTCCTGTAACTTAAAGTTAGGTCTAAAGGTACAACATTTATTTTGAGCTTGTCAACACCTCCATATGTAACACCTTTTTAATTGAAGGATACCGATCCAGTTGAACCAGAAGTTAGAAATGAAAGTGTTCATAGACATTCTTAGAAAGCTAATGAAATGTCGAGAAGTGTTTGGTTTAAGCTGAATAGTATTTGTGAAGGATGTGTAGCTCAAAGTACCCGCTCGTGATCTGTTGCAAGTGCGCGTCCAAGCGCCTTCAGCTGTGATATGTTCAGTAAAACTAATTGGGTCAGCATCAATGTCAAAGAATTACAGAACTATTTATTTTAAGAATTTATCTGCTACCATAGGATTTGACTGTCTGTAACAACAAAATTTATTTACCATTAGTCAAAGTTCTTTCAAGAGATTCAGCAGGAAAGTCTTGGCTGATGTCCATCTTTCGCTAATCTGTCATAGAACACTGTCTGAACAGATAGTTTTTCTATCCTTAACAAAATAATAAGCCTTAAGTATTCAGTCTGCCATAATGATGTGGAACAGGTAATAAGTACAGTAAAGAGTGGAAGCTAGGGAAATGTAACTATCATATACACTGATATTTAGGTACCATGTCAAAAAACATTCATAATTAACCACCACGCTTACGTAACAACAAAAGTGGTAATTCTGTCTGTCTGAACAATATCCGACGTTATTTTGGTGCTATAATTTTTATTTTGTTTATAAACCAATTAGCATCATACAAGCATTTATTGAGTTCATTTTATAGAAATGCAACCAAATGTTTGCACAACTTACGATGTCTGTATTCTCCTGGTTCCTCGTCGAATTCAGTGCATGCTTTATTTAAACGAACTTGGAATATGTTTTGTACCGAATCACTCATCTTTTCCCAACAAAATGCATATTCACAAGAACCTGGTAATTGAGTGCAAGAAAGAAATCATATTAAGAAATAAGAAAAAGCAAAATACTGGCCTAAAAATAAGTTATTTCAAAACAAGAAAGGTAAAAAGTCATTTAAATGGTTGATTTTTTAGGTGTACGAAAAGAAAAAAAAATTACAAATCCTTGAAGGAACAAGTCTTAATATACTTTTCTCATCTGATCAAAAAGCTTCCGAATGCATGAAAGCAATTGAATTTTTCTTCAAAAGTGCCCACGCAAACGACGGTAAATGAGTTCAGTATTTGTCCGTTGATATTAAACAACTTGAGTGCACGTTTTGCAAAATGTTTTTCTGTGTTAATTAATTATCTTGTGCTTTGGCTCGGCATCTGTGCCCAGATGAAGGTAATCCATACAGACATGTAGATAAAAAAGATATGTTAAAACTAAATAACCTGATAGTAAAAATGATTTACAGTGATCAGCATTTGTGGCTTTATTTTTTACACTACCATTTGAAATGCTCGACTTAATTAAACTAGTTGATTGAATTTCTAACATCTTATGTTTATAACAAGAACATAGACTACTTTTATTTATTTGCACTAGACAGACATTTAAGGCTCTCGAACATAGACTTGTTTAAAGCGCGCAAATGATCACTTTTGGAAATACAAAACAAATCATACTTTATATTTACATATGTCAAGTTTATTCACAGTAGATGATGATAATAGATAGTTCTTATATTATGTTTTCAACATATTCTATTTTATAATGAAATACTTGGGTTTGTTTAAATTCGCATAATTTTCCATGAAATTGCATTCTAACGAAATTTTAATAAAAGTCTATTTTAATTCGCTTATTCATCAATTTAGCTAAACCTTATTTAGTCTTAATAAATCCCAAAAGTGGATCAGGGAATGCTCTAAATGGTTTTAACCTCGAAATTTCCCCCATTTGGAAACAAATGAATGTTCCATATGAATTATTTTGTACAGGTAATTAATTTAACTATCTCATTTTAGATTTTTCAGTCGATAAATCTATTATATCGTAATGAACAAAACGTTCAAAATACTCTATAATATTTCAGACGCTTTTTATGAAGAGAGTTCACAAAATCATTTGATAGTACTTCACTATATGCTAAATGACAGAATAATTAGTTATAACTAAGTAAAAACCAATTATCAGAAATTTAATTCTGAAAATGCAAAATGAATGTTTCATATTAATGTACAAATACATGACCAGACTCATGTGCAATAAATTAGTATTTTCAGTAATTACTAATACTAATACTAAATTAAGTCAATAGAATAATTTGTATGACAGTTTAACAAAAACGTGATGCCAAGAAATATGATGTCACAAAAGTACAACCATAGTTTTGATACTAAGACAATCAAATATTTCTTTGAAAAGCTTTAAATTTCAAATCAATTATATTATCCAAGAGACTTATCAATCGAACAGTTAGAATTAACTATTCATCTGAAATTAGAATTCCATGTGCTTATTAATATGAAGTTATTCAAATAGTAGACTGACCTTAACTGACCTGAACTTCCAGTTGAAATTTAATAATCAGCTTATATTAAAACGTCGAAATATAGTGCATCTCAGCAGAGTCAGATCTATTTTTTATTGACTAATACTAGTAAACTAAAAGCTCATATATGTAGACTCCTAAAGATAATTTGAACCAAATCCCAAGCTACATTTAGAAATCACATAGTTGAATTGTGTAACAACACTTTGGCAATATCTGTGCGGCGATTAATCAACAAATGGATATGAATTTTGAAATGCAAGTCAACGTAAATATGGTCAGAGACTTTTAAACACCATTCTAGCCTGAACTACTATTAAACTACTGGATATTTCAATATTAGTACAGTGAGGGAGAAATGTATGTAAGTTATGAATTTTTGACGAAATAAATGTTAATCCATAAGAATTCCTTGAATTCTATTTCCTGATTCTCGAAACTCGTTATCAGGCTGTATTCTGAACTTTGAATGGACTGATACTTCCGCTGAGAATCAAACCAGAATCACTTAGTGCTACAGCACTACAAAGTAGACAAAATGACGCAGGGAACCATTCAATGACTGATTAGTGGAAATATCTCAGTCCTATAAAAAACCCAGAGGTACAGTCTCTGATTGTACCATTCCGTGATACGAGTGTAATTATTTAATGGACTATAATTTATTTTAAGATTTTATGGTTGTGATCACGAACTGATCTTATTTAAATAACCTCTGAGTAGCATGAAGCACTGGACAGGTGTTTCGTCAGAGTACAGGACCCATCAACAGTGAATATCTATAATCCCACCGCAGACCTAACCCAGGACCTTTAGTTTTACGGCTAGCCTTGATTTTGACCGTAAATTGATTGATTACGTGATGATATCAGGGTTAACTGTTCGATCACTGTTAGCACTTTTAGTCCAATATACGTAAGTTGTTTCATTATAAAGTTATGCTGGTTTTTTGTTTGTTTTGTCTCATCAGTAAAATCACTTATATTAGTCTAAGTTTCAAGTTCACTGTAGTTTAACAAACAACTAATTTTTTCAGAATTATGACTAATAAAGTGTCACGTAATAGGGGATAAAAAAGCTAAATGATAAAAGCATCTGCTTAAACACATGTTTCAAGAACCCACATTACAACTATACTGTTAGTGCCATTTAAAATGACTTTCCATCGATTATTAAAATCCTCCTGAATTATACTGATCGAATTATTCCATCAACTAAGTAAAAATGATTTAATAAAAAGACACAAAAAGAAGTCATTGTATATAACAGATAGAATAATACTAATTGTTCTTTAACCAACTGACTCTCTTTACTTTCATTCATTTTCCAAAGTAAGTCGTTATCATATCAAAGTTATTTCAATATTTCAATGATATTTTCAACGTAAAATGTAAAAAATAGTGTTTTATTTAATTACGTTAAACTACATGATATCCTAGTGAAATCATTTTTTTGTTTAATAGAGTAAAAAAAAGTATAGACAGATGCAATTTTTAATAAATTGGTATTTATGTTATCTGAACCACGACCATTAGAGGTTGGAACTGCTATATGTAGATGAAGTTTTTAAACATAATCTAGAATGATTACAAAATTGTTGAATGAGATCATTTGAATTACTCATCTTTGAACAGCTTATCTAACTGTTTATTATCTTTTAACGTATATTTTCCTCTCTATATATTCACACCATTTATCAGGTTTTCACAATATGTAGTCTGAAATTCGTACTTTTCAAAATTGAACATTTTTATGCTTACTTATCTACCCTGCATACTGAGTCTATACTTTTCTTTTTTTGTCTAACTTTACACAATTAGGCCTAAAAATACTATTTCTACAACTCAATGGTAACATGTATTTCGATATTCGTCTATAAAATTATCAATACTAAGTGTTTATTCTACTAAGATAGATTAATCATTTAAAAATGATTTCTCACTTAGTTCACCGTTTGCTTGGAAATTAAGACTATAGTCAAATGATTCTAATAATAAATGAATTTGTCGATTAAGTAAAAACAAAAAATGAATAGTGTCAATTTAAGCAAAAATATCTGGATCAAATGTTGTTTGTAAAAATAAGTATTTTTGTTACAATAACTAATCTTATATATATGATTAAATCCGATTCTGACGTATAATTGAGATGTAAGGTTGATCATACATGAAGACCTTTTTAACTTACTTCCTAACCCATAAATAAAAATAAAATATTTGTAATATTGCAATGAGTAGAGAAATTAGTTTCTTTGACGTTTCGTGACTCAGTGTAAGCCACTTCATCAGAGAACAAATAACCGAATCAAAATCAACCCAAGTTTAAATAGTACAAAGGAACAAAGCAAGAATATTAGGTACGATCAATCAAAGAACAGGTTTGGGGAAGTCATTGATATATCATTTCGGTCAAGGTGAATTTCAAGCGACATGTGTGTAAACTTGTGTTTGTGTATGTGTGTAGGGTCAGGGATAAAAAATGTAACTTTTGTAGTGTGAAATGTGAATAATATCAGACATGGTAACTTGGATAGATAGTTCAGGTCGGATGGATATCGAGGCCTTCTTTTCTGCTGAGAGCAGTAAGATTAAGTATCATATGGAAAGCTTCAGCATTCTTCCTTCTTTGATGTTTTTGATACCGCTTTGGTGGTTGTCGAAAATGATGAGAACTGCTATTGTCGACTTAATTTGGAGTTTATCCAATTCTACGGGATTATTAGGTGTTTTTTTGTGTGACTAAAATGTTCTTTGGCTCGAGTCAAGATTTCGCGAGATGACTCTCTGATATAGAAGGTATCACAATCAACAGACAGTTCTGTGTTGACATAAAGGGGGTTTTAGAATTCTTTGTAGTCCTTCTGTTGTACCATGGCGTTATGGTAAAACCGCAGTACCAATCCATGATATTTCATACAAATCATTAATTAGCAGTGAAATATCTTGCTTTATTACGCTTTTAATAATCTTCATGGGAAAATTGTTAAATTGTAAGGCTTTAATTACATGTTTTTGCTTTTTTTGTTTGTTCTCTTCAAATGTGATAATCTTGTTAGTTCTTCTAAAGAGCTTGAACTTGAACTGTCTATCCAAGCTACTATTTCTGATACTATTCACATTTCCCACTATTATCGTAAAGACGAATTAAACTCTATCCTTTCTTACTACAAAGGTTACAATTTTTCATTCCTGACCTTGTATACGTACTTACTTCCTCACTTACTTACGCCTATTACTCCCAATGGATCAATGGCCGCCGACCAGCATTCTCCAACCAATTCTGTCCTGAGCCCTCCTTTCTCGTTCGATCCAATTTCTGCTCATTCTTTTCATGTCTGTCTTCCTCTTTCCCTTTGGCCTTGAGGATTCCATGTGAGGGCTTGTCTTGTGACTCAGTTGAATACATTCCTCAATGTGTGTCCTATCCACTTCCAGCAGTTCTTCCTGATTTCTTCCTCCGCTGGGATCTGGTTTGTTCTCTATCACAGTAGGTTGTTGCTAATAGTGTCTGGCCAACGGATCCAAAGTATTTTGCTCAAACAACTGTTAATAAGCACTTGTATCTTCTGGATGATGGCTTTAGTAGTTCTCCAAACTTCCACCCCATACAGTAGAACTGTCGACATTTGTGTTGAAAATCCTGACCTTGGTGTTGTGTGACAGTGGTTTTGAGTTTTAGATATTCTTCAGTCGTAAATATGATGCTCTTACCTTGACGATCCTCACCTTCATATCTGCATCAGATCCACCGTGTTCATCAATGATGCTGCCCAGATATGTAAAGGCCTTTACATCTCCCAAATCTTCTCCGTCAATTGTGATTGGATTGTTGCATGCTGTGTTGTATCGGAGAATCTTGCTTTTCTCTTTGTGTATATTGAGACCTACTGCTGCTGAGGCTGGTGTTACACTGGTCGTCTTCTCCTGCATTTGTTGTTGCGTTTGAAATAGAAGGGCCAGATCATCTACGAAGCCTAGATCGTCCAGCTGCATTTTAGCTATGCATTGTATCCCGTGCTCCTCTTCAGATGTTGATGTCTTCATGATCCAGTCGATCACCAGGAGAAAGAGAAAGGGTGAGAGTAAGCAACCTTGCCTGACACCGGTCTCCACTTCGAACGAGTTTGCCAACTGTACTCCATGCACAATTTTGCAGTTTAATCCACCATAGGAATTCTGTATGATATTGACTATCTTCTGAGGCACGCCGTGGTATCGAAGAAGCTTCCATAGTGTTGTTGTGTCCACGCTATCAAATGCTTTTTCGTAGTCAATGAATTTGATGTAGAGTGATGAATTCCATTCAATTGATTGTTCCACAATGATCCGTAGAGTTGCGATTTGGTCCGTACACGATCTTTCTTTACGGAATCCTGACTGTTGGTCTCGAAGTTGGGCATCTACGTAGTCATTTGTCCACCCTACACACATACACAAACACAAGTTTACACACATGTCGCTTGAAATTCACCTTGACCGAAATGATATATCAATGACTTCCCCAAACCTGTTCTTTGATTGATCGTACCTAATATTCTTGCTTTGTTCCTTTGTACTATTTAAACTTGGGTTGATTTTGATTCGGTTATTTGTTCTCTGATGAAGTGGCTTACACTGAGTCACGAAACGTCAAAGAAACTAATTTCTCTACTCATTGCAATATTACAAATATTTTATTTTATTTATAACAACCTACACAATGCTCAATTTATTTGAAATTTTCATGTCAATCCTTGTTAATGATACCCACAAACTCATTTCTACCCCATATTTTATGATTGTCAAGTTGATGAAGTACTTAAAAGTTCTAGATTTCAGAATTAAAACTTGCTTGCAGAGTATTAAAATGGTGGATACTCCTCAAAGATATAGAAGCAAAATAAACAAATATTCAAACACTCTATTGCATAAATTTAGCTCATTTTGTCAACTATACACAATCTATATCATACTAGTGATATATTACAGTAAAGTTGTATTGTTACTAAAATAAATATGAAAGTAAATAACAAACACTCAAAGTGTATAATGAAGAATATTAAGCAATTTATAATCAAAGAATAAGTAAATGAATAAATGGCAAAAAATGACAATCACGAGTAAAAAAAGTCAAATTTACAGATAGTTAGTTGATCTAGGCAGCACAATACGTGATCTTATTGGATAGAGATATCCAGACTACTGGGAACCTACATTATATTAATTGAGGCAAATAACAATGATATTTTATTATTCCGTTTGCATACGTTTCAGAAATATTAAATGCCGTAATGTTAACTTTCTATTGATCAGAACAAAACCTGCTAACAGAAAGATGATAAACAGGTGTTACGTGATTAGAAACAAATGAAAGAAACTCTGAACTGAGGTTGTATCACTCGTCATCGATTAAATTTATTTAGCGTAAAAGAATAAATAAGGATGACACTGATTGCTCAGTAGTCAGAAGTCTACCAACATAATGATAAACCACCAGACAATACGTCCTTCCATAACTTATAATAACATAAACATAAACTCAGTATTATATGTATATCTTCTTTATTATGCTGAATTATGCTCGAGAAGAGTTTACACGGTAATGCATTCCTAAATGTTTAACTTATATGCCTTTCATATTAACCATAAATAATTTATTTATGCATTCATGTATTCAAATATCAATTTTGATGCCATATTTCTGCTATTTAGAATATCCAGGCCATGCAGAAAATTTTATCAGAAATTTACCAAAAGCTAGTCTTTTACGTTATCGAGCAATAGTTACGTGTTCAGGTGATGGACTAGTGTATGAAGTAATTAACGGATTCATATTAAGAAAAAATTATGATGACGCCATTGATGAGGATACAATACCTGTTGGAATTCTACCAGGAGGTAGTGCTAATTCAACTGCTGCTTCAATTTGTTATCATTCTGGGTAATTAAATATTTATCAATGCAAACAAGTTAGATATGCTATTTATTAGAATAGGTTTTTGGTTTGAAGCACAGCAGAACATAACTGTGCACAAACTATAAAGCAGATGAATTAACCCAGATGTATATCCAGTTACTTAGTAATGTATTTCATGAACAAATGTGTTTGTTAAATTAGTTAACATAAACTAAACATAAATATAACATTACAATTTAGTCATCTATTCACCAGTCTATGTGATAAAGTTTGTATTACGTAATAACTAATGACCATAAAATATCATGATCAGTCCATGCATTTGCTTGGCTAGTGGTTTCTTGATTTATCGAATAATTGATAGTCATTTCTTACACCCAAATCCATTCTCAGTCTGTGATCACAAAAAAGGGCAAATCGATAAAAGGCGAAAATGATTTGTAATTATAGTGGCTTTTAAAGCGGTATTGACTTTTTATCACTGAGACTCCTGTGAGTCTTTGTTTCACTAATACATACATTTAATGATTAAAAGCCTTTTTGTGATTTTTGAAATTTGATAGGCAAGGGGACAGTTAATAAATCAGGAGATCACTGCGTTTATCATTACTGACATTCCTATTCAAAAGAATTTCCCCTATAGTTTATTATTCAAATGTTCACTTCACTCACGTAGACAAAAAGATAGTGACTGTGTGTTGGGTTGTGGTAACAAACATAAGTTGAAATAATTTTTGAAACAAGTTCTTTTCGTATTAATTAAGAGCTAGTTTGGTCTACTTTTCAAGTGATAACAATTGTGATTAAACGAGTTACAAACTAGTATTCAACTATTTTTTTAGAAGTCTTTGGTTCACTTGATTCTTATAAAGACTTACCGTCAATTACCAATAAAAACGTCAAACGTTGCTGCACAGAGATGTTATATATTTATAAGTTTTTTCACTAAATGACACTTGTTGAGGAACCATCGAAATTCATCCATATTGATAAAATACACTAGACGAGACTTGAAAGTTACAGGTTTACTCCTACTGAATAAAGTATCTCAGGTCTGTCGAAAAGTCTCAAATGTGGACAAGACTAATAACGTCCGAAGTTTCTTAAGTTAATGTTAGACTGCAGTGAAAGTCACATGTAAACGTTGCAATTATCAAATTATGCATAGATCAGTCCCCTAACGGAAAATATCATCATTTAATATTAGTAATAAAATACTTATTGCAAACCTTATGCTTTCCTTTATTTAGTTTACTGGGTAAATCATCACTTTTATCACACTGTGGCTTTCTGTTAACATTACCAATTGAAAATTTACAAAATAGTCAATCTAAACAAGTTAATGAGCAAAGTGAAAATTACAATTTTACTTTACCACTTTTACCGTGTATCAGTCCGATGAGTGGTATACACTTTGGAACATGTGACAGAAATTTTCATCGATACGGTATTCAAAGTATTGAATGGGGTTTCGTCGCTGATTTGGACTACAAAAGTGAACGATTTCGTTGGATGGGTGAAAAAAGATTTTTACTTTATGCATGTTACTACCTTATGAGTAAGCGTTTAGTTTCCTTTACCATATGAATCAAAACCGTTCCTTGTTGATCTTTTTAAACAAACGAATTATGTTATACCCTTCAAACGTCAAGGGAATACAATAATATATGACTGCATTTAGTTCAATGTGACATCCAGTCAAAATAACATCATTATATTCGAGTCTTCAGTTATTTCAATTATAAACGTGACCGAAAAACATTTATCTAAAAAAGCGAAGCATCAAAAAAGCTCCATGTAAAACATTTGAAAAAACTAGGTACTACGTTTTTAGTGAGATTCGGATTTAACTGGTCTCAAGCCTGTTTTTACAATGTGCAAAACCGAAAATATTTTAGATCTAATAGACTTCGTAAGGACTCAGTCTTCACTCTGTTGACATAGACTATGTCAATATATTTAGTTGCCCATTTTTATGCCCCACTTTAACAAAGCAGTGAGACTTGGTAATTTCTACAGAAAAGGATGTTAGTGCATTTCATGATATTTGTCTTCTGCTGGTGATAAAGCAAAGTTCATTGAAAGTTTTCAATCTATAAAGTCTACTAGATCTTATAATAATCAAAATGAATGAGGAAGGTTTCAGAAAAAAATACCATCGTTTCTAAACTTCAGATTGACTATCCATTCAACTGATGATGACAATGATAGTTTTAAGGAAGCGAACTAAACTTATGTTAATACGTAAAAAGAATAAAACGTCTGGAATTTTTAAACAAGTCCATCAACGACAGAATTTCTTTCCGTAATGACGCTCAAAGAGGGTCACATATTCACTTGAAATTTGACCACAGAAAGTTGAAGATTTTACTTTGTTGAGCGTTTCACTCATTCTGGATATCTCAATTTTGAAGTTGGTGTTAAAGTTATATAATTTTTATGATTTAAGCTACGAAAAGTTTAGGTTGAAATGAAACTTTAATAGATGAAGAAAACATATTCGTAGGACTAGTATTGTCTTGCTGTAGTCTAGGAGATATTATAATTGAAATCCAGTTTAAATAGTACACATTAAATCGTAAACGATTCATATTTAACTTTGCGTTATTGTTTTAAGTACTGACCTCAAATCCTTATGAACTAGGTCTGTGTATAGTGCGTACTCTCAAAAGCGAAACAACGCTAGTCCAGTGATCGAGTAGAAAACAGTCCCAGGCAAACCGTGTTCAATGTAGAAGTCATAAAACATTCTATCTATGAATTCATGAAGGACAACTCGACTTTACTTAGCGAACGACAATTTACTCCGATGGCATCTAAATAGTCAAGTTGTACTTTATTCGACAAAACGTTGTTAACATTCGATCAGATTGTAAATCTATGAAAAAAACGTTTCACCATTCTTTTTATTTATGTTCTACTAAAATATTAAATTTGAATAATAAAATCAACCGATAATCTATATACTTATAAATGTATAATATCTTTTTTGCCAACTAGAGAAACCAACATATCGTGCTAAATTATCATACTTACCGTTTGATAATGTACTATACCAAAAAAACAAGTATAAAAATGATGAACTGGTTCAAAAATCTTCTGTACCATCAACGGTAAGCCAAAAAATTCACTTGACTAGTTCTCACTTAAGTTATTTTTGTCATAAATTGTTATCACAAACTATGCAAATAAACATTATAACACCTAAAATAAAACTATTATAGTGAACAAAAACACGAGTGGGGAGAACCGAATGTATTTGACACGAAATTACAGATCAACTCAATATAATCTGAGATTCATATAGTAAATAGTTAATTTACAAAATATCAATCCATCGTCTCAAACTTGACTGTTCCTTATGCGAATATCAGTCCATTGTCTCAGATTTCCTTGTTCATGCATTTTCATACCAACTGCGTTCCATTTCCATTCTTTTCTTCTCGACCTTCTACTGAAATACATTCTATGCCTGACCACCGTTCTATGCTACTTATGTGAGTATAAGTAACCCACACCATGCTATTAGTGAATTAGCGTTGAACATAACTATTCTCTATCGATAATAATTATTCTATATTTTGGATTAAAAAAATTAATTATGATTAAATATTTCATAAGAAAATAAGAAAACGGTTAATATGGATGTTGTTTTTCTTTTATTTCTAAACATGTAACAGCAACTAGTCAAAATGAAAAAACGATACCAATGTAATTTAAATAAATCATTAAATGAAGATAGAGAGATAAAATGTTCTTTCATAAATGATTATAAGTTAATAAATAAACTCTTGAAAATATGAATAGTTGAATATACATTTACATTTTTGACTTCACTTGATGTTGTTTTACTTGTATCATCCCATTGTTATTGTAATTGACCACTCTCTTGTTGGCGTATGTGCAACCTATGTGGACTGCCTCGATATGGACTTAAGTCATAAACTTTTTAAGCAAAGATGGATAGTGACTAGTATTGGAACCCAGTTTGACTCGAGTTTTGTCCTATTTAGAATTCGCCAGTTACATCCAGTTGATGAGTCCGAAATAGGACAAAACGCACCTCCCAGATCCCACTGTTAGACACTATCCATCTTTGCTTAAATATACATTTTTTGTGAAAGTTTAATTATTGAATATAAAGTGACTGAGGCTATGATTGTCAGAAGAATAGATAAAATTTTATGATAAATTATTCTATATATAAATACAGTTATCTCAAGGCGCTCAAATTCAAAGTTAATTGAATACAGAAAATAAATCCTAACGCCTTGTTTAGAAGCTAGGATGATAGTTAGTGCTCGAACTTAAAGGATATGATACGTTTAGACTGATATCATGAATGAATCAATGTTAGACCACCATTGAAAACCTAGAAGCAGTGGACGGCCGTTTCGTCGTAGTATAAGACTCATCACCAGTACGCATCCACGACCCGCATGTGGGGGTCGAATCCAGCACCTTCGGTTTCACGCATAAACGCTTAATCTCTAGAACACTGAGCCGGTATTCAACGGTGTTAATATCTAACTTCAATCAATCCACGAAATTACGCGACCGTTCACCAATGTCTTCAGAGAATACTGCCTCTCAGCAAACACGGTTGAATTCCACTGGTCACGGCTTCCACTAGAACTCCAGGAAATCCATCTTGAAGCCAATTACTAATGATCACTTAATAATTATCAGTATAGCCATTAGACAAATCAATAGTGAGAAAACAACAGAACCTGGAAACATACCAGCTCAAGCACTAAAGTCAGACATAGAGGTAACTACAGACGTGCTCCATGTTCTATTCATGAAGATTTGGGGAGAGGAACAAATGCCGATAAACTGGAAGAAAGGACACCTCATCAAGATACCAAAGAAAGGAGAACCACAGAGGCATCACACTACTTCCAGTACCAGGAAAGGTTTTCAACAGTATTGCTGAACCGGATGGGAGATCCAGTAGATGCCCAACTTCGTGATCAGCAATCTGGATTCTGTAAGGATCGGTCGTGCACAGACCAAATCGTGACACATGGGATCATCGTTGAACAATCAGTTGAATGGAACTCGTCACTATATTATCAAATTCCTCAATTATGAGAAAGCATTTAACAGTGTGGAAAGGTGAACATTATGGAACCTTCTTCGACACTATGGAGTGCCTGAGAAAATCGTCAGAATCATACAGATTTCATATCACAGACTACACTGTAAAGTGGGGTGTGGAGGACAGTTGACAGATGCATTCCAATTAAGGATTGAAGTCAGACAAGGCTGCTTACTGTCCCCCTTTCTCTTTCTTTTGGTGTTTGGCTAGATTATGAAGACCTCGGTATCTGACGGGAGGCATGAAACACAATAGATAGCTTGGATACAGTTGAACAATTTGGACTTCCCAGATAACCTGGTCATTCTATCGTATACACATCAACAAATGCAAGTGAATACAAGAAGTGTAGCAGTAGCCTGTGTATCAGTAGCCCTCAACACACACAAGAAAAAAGCAAGACCCTCAAATATGACACAGAGAACACCAACCCAACCATACTTGATAGAGAGGCCTTGGAAGAGATGAAAACTTTCACGTACCTGGACAGCATCATCGACGAGCAAGAAGGATCTGGTGAAGATGTGAAGGTAAGGATTGATAAAGCATGGACAGCATTTCTACAATCGGACAATAAGTATTTACAAAATGACTGTGTACGAAAGATACTCAATATCCGTTGGCTGGATATCATCAGCAACAGCCTGCTGTGGGAACAAACAAACCAGCTTACAGCTGAAGAGAAAATTAGGAAACGTTTCTGGGGGTAGATAGGACAAACATTGTGGAAATCAATAAGCTGCAAGACGAAGCAAGCCTAACTTGAAATCTCAAAGGCAAGAAAGAGGCAGAAAAAAGTAAACGTTGAGCCGGGAATCGAGGACAGATATGAAAAGAATAAATTTCAACTAGGAAGGATTGGCCAAAAATGAGTTCGAAGGACAATGCTGGTGGGCTCCCTCACGAGGAGTAACACTTGTAAGTGAGTAACTCACTTATATTAACATATGTCACTACCTATTTATTTGTTTTTATTCAACTCAAATACTAACTTAAAATTTGATGAGAACGTATGAATATTTCTATTTATCTAATCTGTTATCGTATGTTTCATACGTATTGTATGATATAATCACTATATCACGACCATACAACATAAGTTCAGTAATTGGACAGGCGTGTTCGTCCCCTATGTCGAATATCGGATTGTATAGATACTACTGAAAGTAACCATTATAATTAATTTAGCTTTTAATACGATAACAATCCTGATTTTATATTGATTTAATTTTATTGTTTATATATAGGCATGTGGAAATTCAAATGATTTTACAAATAAATTAAACGTATCTCCTACACAGATCAAAAAGTCGTGTCAATCCTGGTCGTAAGTGTGCTTTTACATTATAGTACATTATTTATTCGCAGTGTCCTTTTATTTTTTGTAACTATGTAAGTTACTTCGTTGCCTTATTGTAGTTAAGAGTAGGAATACTATCTATCTGGGAATATAGGAAAATAATGAAGATGAAATTCATAATTTAAAGATGTTTTATGGATTATGTTTGGCACTTAATGGCTCCACTTAGGTCAGTTTGTACTTTAGTAAAATAACTGCGTTTATTTGATGAATGTTACAGATGCATATTTCTCACTGATATGCTACAGTGGAAATGTAAACCCTAAGGTCTTACTTACTTACTTACTTATGCCTGTTACTCCCAATGGAGCATAGGCCGCTGACCAGCATTCTCCAACCCACTCTGTCCTGGGCCTTCTTTTCTAGTTCCATCCAATTCTTGTTCATTTTTAGCATTTCAATCTCCATTTCTCAGCGTAATGTGTTCTTTGGTCTTCCTCTTTTCCTTTGGCCTTGAGGATTCTATGTCCTATCCACTTCCAGCGGTTCTTCCTGATTTCTTCCTCCTCTGGGATCTGGTTTGTTCTCTATCACAGTACGTTGTTGCTAATAGTGTCTGGCCAACGGATCCAAAGTATTTTGCTCAAACAACTGTTAATAAGCACTTGTATCTTCTGGATGATGGCTTTAGTAGTTCTCCAAACTTCCACCCCATACAGTAGAACTGTCGACATTTGTGTTGAAAATCCTGAACTTGATGTTGGTTGACAGATGTTTTTAGTTCCAGATATTCTTCAGTAGTAGATATGCTGCTCTCGCTTCTTCGATCCGCGCCTTCACATCTGCATCTGATCCACTATGTTCATCAATGATGCTGCCCAGATATGTAAAGGCCTTTACATCTCCCAAATCTTCTCCGTCAATTGTGATTGGATTGTTGCATGCTGTGTTGTATCGGAGAATCTTGCTTTTCTCTTTGTGTATATTGAGACCTACTGCTGCTGAGGCTGGTGTTACACTGGTCGTCTTCTCCTGCATTTGTTGTTGCGTTTGAAATAGAAGGGCCAGATCATCTACGAAGTCTAGATCGTCCAGCTGCATTTTAGCTATGCATTGTATCCCGTGCTCCTCTTCAGATGTTGATGTCTTCATGATCCAGTCGATCACCAGGAGAAAGAGAAACGGTGAGAGTAAGCAACCATTCCTGACACCGGTCTCCACTTCGAACGAGTTTGTCAACTGTACTCCATGCACAATTTTGCAGTTTAATCCACCATAGGAATTCTGTATGATATTGACTATCTTCTGAGGCACGCCGTAGTATCGAAGAAGCTTCCATAGTGTTGTTGTGTCCACGCTATCAAATGCCTTTTCGTAGAAACCCTAAGGTCAGTTATCCAAAATTCTGTTGCACATGCTAGCTTCCGAATTACTCTTTGACAGGCATTGGTTAATTATATTATATCCCAAGCAGAAGTTGTGGAACACATGTGTCTCATTTTGAGAGTAATGAAAATTAGATAAAAGGAAAGACTGACTGATAAATGAATGAAATACGATTCAAATTCTGTTAGCAGTCAAACCGAGAAGCATTGTCCATGAGTTATCAGCCTTTATTTATTTGTTTAATATACAAAAATGCTGGTACAGCTAGGCACCGAAATAAATATGCACCATACAAATAAAGGAACGAAATAGCGTAGATATAGAAGAACGAGGGAGTACAATAAAAAAATAGGTCAATAAAAATAAGTGAACGAGAGTAGTATGTAATAAGAGAAACAGTTTAGTTAAAATAAAGTCCAAAAGAGTTCTTTCAGCTAATGAAGTTCCTTTCGTTTTTCATGAAGAATGTGAAAGAAAACCAATGTAAACCTCCATTGACCTTTGTTATGAGCTATGATAGATATAGTTTCACATCACTGAGTTGTCTCTAGAACCCTGATCAAACAGTTTCTATGATCTGAAAGGTGCCAGTTTTGTTTCGCTTTCTTCCAAACCACGGTAACGTCTCATCGATTGATCAGATAATTGTTTCTTCCCGACCATTCTAGAGTGGGTAATCAATATCACAAGCAAAACTCCCTAAGGTGACATTCGTAGCACTTGCCTAAACTACCTAAGGTGTTTCAAGGTTAAGAAACTAATTGATTTGTCGTTACTGAATAAGAAAACACATTGTTAAACCTCAGTATCACTAATATAGAATTGTCACTGAATGTTAGCAACTTTTCAGCGACAACGAATAGAAGATACAGTGAGCTGACAAACATCCTCAACTCGGGTAAGCCAGGTCGTCAACATAGTAACCCATAAGTTATTAATTCAGATCTTACTTCAACCGGAATTCACATTTTCAACATTATGTTCGTATTAAAAAATAAGTGTAAAAAGATAAATCATAAATTTTTCACTGTATTTTAATTTTCATAGATTTCTACCAGAAATTAACCAACCTATTTCTAATCACCAAGATAAATGGGTCACTTTAGATAAAAACTTCGTTACAATATTAGTAACAAATCACTCTCATATAACATCTAGTACCGTAATGTATCCGGATGCTCATATCAGTGACCCATATTTAACTTTATTAATTCTGCATGAAAACACAACAAGGTTGGTATATACAAATTGTTTTATGAATAGATTCTTATGAATTATATATCGTTTACGTCCATATAAAATCTAAATTATATGCATTTATACAAACTGTATTATATACGAATATCAAAAAAGCATATCCAATACTTGTACAATACTGTTTTAATTTCTTTATGAACTTAATACTGGAAACAATCTTAAATAGTTTTAATAGCGGGAACAGTTTTATAATTTAAAAATTCTAAATAGTGTACTACATGAAAAGTGCATCTTGAAATTAATTCTATTTAATCATCTGTATACTTTTGTATGTTTTTTTGCAACTGTACCTTAATTACTTTTTTTGTTTTAAAAAAAGATACGATCTAAAAATAGAATCAATTAATACTGCCTAATATCTAAAATTGACAATTCAGTAATATTATAAATATTCTGTGAAAAAAAGCAAACATTTCAAGAATTTAAAGCAATTAGTATATTTTATAAATTTAGATAGAACATTATTTACAAATTAATATTTATTAAGAACATTTTTCTCTAAACATTTCCAATGCTCACTGAAGTTTACACTGAAATGTTTTAGCATCAAAGTATACTATAACTCTTGAACTTTGAATTTTAATTACTAAGGTAACATTAAAAAATCAAAACCATTTGTATTCTCTTCAATTATATATTAATTATCAATGTGGAGTCGTGGAGGTTATTGATTTTTTATTGGGATCACGAATAGATCAATATCTGACTTCTATTGGAAACCTGAAGAAACACTGAACGACCGTTTTTTCCTAGTATGGAACCACTCACCAGTGCGCACCCACGATTGCGCACGCGGAATTCGAACTCAAGATCTTCGATCTCACTCGTAAACGCTTAAACTCTACACCACTAAGCCGGCATCCCATGGTGTTAATGTCTAACTTCAGCCAAACAACAAAATTACGCGACCATCTTCCACTGTCTGAGGTAGATAGCTGTCTTTATGTAACACGAATTAGCTCCACTGGTCATGGCTTCTCACCAAAACCCGGAGAATTACCTCACGAAGCTAGTTACTAGTGAGCACATGATAATTATCAGTATAGGGTTGTGGAGATTGTTGAATCTTTTGATTGAGATCATGAATATATTAATTGTCAGTTAATGAATGTAGGACTAAATGTCTTAAAACTATCCTGACACTAAAAAGATGTAAAAACCGGGTTTAATAATAACTGAAATAGGATAAACGTAATTTGTATCATTAGAGGTGCACTTTTTATGATTTTGTGTTCTGTTGTTTTAAAAATTATATTTCAACAATTAGTTTTATATGTTTATCTTGGTAATCCAAAAATGTAACTAAGTGTATCTGAAATTTCTTTTAAAATAGCATGGGATGACGAATTATTTGTGTTGAATTCATTAATTAAATTTCTTTTTCAATATTACATAACTAAGAAGTCATGCAAACCACCAGAACATTTGGTCCTTCATGTGTTCCTACATCCATCTACTGCTCTAATTTTGCCTGTTTTAAATTTGTGTTAATAAATTAATTAAATCTCTTAACTGCGTGTATTTACTCATCTTCATAACATGTTTTAAATCTATAGCTTGTATAATTATTGAGGAACTGAAGGAACGCAACGATGGTAGTTCAGAGAATCCCACTGGATGTATTCGATAATATAAAAGGTGTCATAGGAGCAAGACTTACTTTAAACATTTACGAATAAATGAAAATAACAGAGTATTATGGTTTAAAAACGCTTTGAATTTAGTGCATATAAAATGAAAATTTGTCAAAAACTTGTTTATTTAGTACTCAGAATTCTTTACTGTAATCACATAGTTGATATTGAATAAAACGAATATTATGTTTAGTTTGATTCGCATTTTGAAGTCATAAAATAACTAAACATTTTAACATTCTACAAAATCCTTGTTTTGTAATCTCCCTATGAAACAATGTTTTTCATATTGACATTAGTTTTAGTTCCTTCTATTTTTGAATGGTAAAATAATCATGTAATTATCTAAAATGTTGCAAATTCTGTTTTATAATATTATTCACAATATAAGATATTAGTTATTTTGCAGTAAAGCAATTCACTATTGTATTTGGTTCACGATGAGAAATTTACTTCAGCCGAATTGTTTATGAATACTAATTTAACGTGAATATAGTTAACCTTGTAAATTAACATCAGCTGAGTAACTATATAAGACAAGGAAATTCAAGAAAATGGTTTTGTGTTAGTGAAACACTCTTTTGAAATACATTTGTTTATATAAGGAGATTTAGACTTGTCCTAGAAAGTCATCAAACCAATAAGGCATACTAAACAAGTCAAGTATCGATTAGCATTCCAAATAAAATTTGGAAAGTAACACCATAAGAAATATTTAATGTAAGGTATTGGTTTCATAACGCATGAGTTAGGCCAAATTTATATCATTATTTTATTTTTACAAAATTATATTTTAGACTTGATTTGTTAGCTTTGGGACGAGCAATGTCAAATGGTCAAGGCCTACAATCAACATCAAACATGGATATTGTAAAAATTTGTGCTCTACGAATAGAACCGTATTCTAAAGATTCAGTCATCACAATGCTGGACGGAGAGCTCATGCCTTCAGGCCCATTTCAAGCAGAAGTTATCCCAGGAATTCTAAATGTTATTTCAGGTACCAAGGTTGTATGAACTCCATATTTCAGGTAAGACTTATTACTGCTATAAGAAACTTGTCGTTTAGTCTGTAATTATATGTTGATTTATGAAAATATGATTTTATGACAAAAAGATTAGGTAGAGACTTATGCTGTCTTCAATCAGTTAACTATTAAAAATAAAAACTGGAATTGTGAAAGTTATTTTCCAAAATATAAAAAACTAAACGTTTGAAATATTCAAAGAATAATAAAAGTAACATTAGCAAATTGATTTCGGTAATGAAGCCTACTGAAGTAACCGATTTTCTTCCAATTCTCTTAAAAGTCCTAACATTTTAAATGAACAATTGAGAATTGATGTTTCACATAATATCATCAAATGTCTGCAGAACTACAGTTTTCCTTTAGTACTGAATTTGCAATTTTAAAAAATAAACAAATAGAGGTTATTTGCCATTCATCTCTACTACTTCAGGTAAAATGTTATATAATGACATTTAGTTCTAAATTTTATTGATAGCTTAATTCTTGGTTCAGCAGACCAAAGGCCAATACGACAAAGTATTCTCATTCCCTCTTACGCATATTAAAATAATTGAAAGATTATTCACAGTAATTACAGTGTGTTGTGTTATGTCCGATTTTAAAAATGAATATAATATTTCATTTTTGGTAATTAAAAACAGAATTACATGGTGAAGAATTGTGTATACGAATAGAAAATTGCTGATTTTAATACTGGATCCAATAGACATTTCCTACTCCTTTGAAGGATCATAAACATTAAAAAACATATTGTTTGATTTTCATCATTTGTAGCATACATGAAATATTTGCTCTTAACTATGCTATACTGATCAACAAAAATCCGTTTCTAAGGGTAAAGTACCATTAAAAATAAGAAATAACACTGACTGAACAAAAAAGCACTTCAAATACTTACTTATTCTAAGGCAATTTATACTTGAATCATAAACTGATAGCAAATTGTTTCGCGCTCATTCAAAGTTAGCACTCGAATGAATTACGTTGTGAATGGTATAGTGAGTAGAAAATAACATTTAAGCATACGGACGAGTGAATAACACTTTTTTTAGATATGTTTTGAAAAAAACAAAACTTTTAATAAAAAACAACTTTCATATCTTAAATCCTGTTTTGCATACATCGTTGCTTGCATAAAATTAGTATTATTTCAAGACAATATCTTATATTACACTTGGTATCGTTTACTTGAATCTTCCCATCGATGTTTAGAACTGTCATTGATCAGTCTCTTATTGGCATATGTTCATACTGTACATATTGCCTTGATAATGCCTTAACTCACAAGCATTCTAAGTAAAGATGGATAGTGGCTAGAAAAGGAATCCAAAACATGGATTTCATCCTATTTAGGACCTGTCAACTGGATGAACCTTCATCCTAGAGTTGTTATTTGAAACAAACAATATTGGGTTCAAGTCCCAGAGTGAATAACAAATCTGAGATACAAGTACATCCAACTAACGAGTTTCAATTAGGACGAAACTCCTTTCCTGGATTCCACTGATAGTCACTATTCATTTTTACCTACAATATTTTTTATTATTTAAATAACCTATAATTAATTATTTATTTTTGCATTTTTATTTTATTTCGCAGAATTTCATTTTGCTTATTTGAAACAAATCAGAACTTGATCAACGACTTATTTTTCTTTTCAAACTAAAATAAAACAAAAAAATATTTTTTCCTTTTAAATTTATACGTTTTTTTTCACACTATTTAATATTGTTCATTTCAATGTTGTTGTTGTTGTTCTTTTTTTATCAATGCTGGGCAGAGTTTTAAATTTTCTCTATTTTAATGAATTAAAACAAAATAATGGAAAATTGATTTTTTAATTTTGTTTTTCTGATGACTATTACAAATTTTGTTTTTATTTTTATTTTTTTTGTAAAAATTTAAATTTAAAAAAATTAATTATTTAATATCAGATGGGTTTTGTGCATATTACAGTAATTTCAATGGTTAAAATCACGAGTCAGTTGAGGCTAGACCACCATGGAAAACCGTCCAGTGCTTCCAGGTTTTCCATGGTGGCCTAGCTTCAACTGACTCATGATCTCAACCATTGAAATTATTTATTTGTAAATTAATATTTTGAAGATATTTACTGATATTTACTACTTATTTATCATAAGTAATTTAAAGTTTGAAAAAAATGTTTAAGAGTTAAATAAATAAAAAAGATATACATTTGACAACTGATTGATCAATATCTTGTTTATTTAATTTTTTAATATGGATTGAATTCTATCAAATAAACTGTAATGTAATTACAAGCTCAATGGACTCTCGTTTACAATGTGATCGATAGAATTTGATTAAAAAAATAAAAGATAAAATGTATATGTTATTGCTTAACGACTTTTTAATTTCTCACAAATACAAGAGATCAGTTATTCCATGAAAGTCCTACCCTACACAAATGAATGAATTACGTTAAAATCCCATAGAAAACAAAAATTCATTCAGGATTATAAGCAAGCCTTATTATGGAGTGCCAACTAGTATGAAACAGATTTTTATCTCCACACACCTCCAACTGTCCAATATATATATATATTTGATTTGATAAAAATGTTATATGTATAACTGAGAACCGTACTTCTATTTCTCAACTGAAAATTTCAGTCCACTGCGAATTCGAAGTTACTTGAATTGTAGGCATTTATATTATAATGGTCAATGATTATAAAATAATAGTTTCTGGTTGAATCGAACTAAATCAATTTTGGAAAGTATGGTAAACAATTATATTTTAGATGATTGATTAAAAGCAATATTATCAAGACACGCCCACTTTTTAACTATTTTTATTCAATGAAGTTATACTCATGAATGATCTAGACTATTGCAATTCAACTTGAGAATTTCGAATGGCATTCTACGTTCGACGGTGAATTGAAACTTTCAAAAATCTATAAATCATCACAGAACATTTCTCCATTCTTTCTTGGCTTTCAATGTTTCACTTTTCAATTCTATTAATATATATAAATATACTACAGTATCTATAATTAAACAATGAAGTCAATTGTTTGCGAATTGTTAAAATGATATAATTCAATTTCAAGATATCTATAATAAATAATTGATTTTTGGACTTTGTTGACCGGTAAAAAGTATTCAAAATGGTGCCATCTTTATGACACAAGAAAACAATATTTTTAAAAAAAGTTATACACAGTGTACAAATGGATTATATTTCTCAAGTTTCAATCGAAATGAACAGCATAAAGAAGTTCAAATAAATAATGAACAATAAACTTTGTGAAATAATTATAAAAAGAGTGAGGAATTTTGATTCACATAACCTTGACAAAAAATTCAGTTCTTGGTAACCATAGTATTTTGTTTGTTTTTTAATGTCATATATCACACCACTTAACTGTTATGTAGTTATGAAAGTTAACAATAACATTTAAAAAATGCATACGAATACTGTCAGAGTGATATAAACATATCAAGATACATATTTCATTAGCATAAAATTATTTAGTTGTACCAATGATTATGATTATTCGTATAGTCAGATATGGTACGATTTTTATTTTATATGGATGAAGTAATAATCGATTGAATTTAAAGAATTCAAACATGAGAACTGATATATATATATTTTTTGAAGTTGTTAACAGTTATCTGTTAGTTGTATTCATTACTGAATATCCGTTATTGGGAAAGTGATAGTCTGTTTAAAACAAAACATTAAGTGTTTTGATTACAAAAAAAGAAAGAAAAGCTTAAGCGAAGGAGTTTTGTTTTACTAAACTTTTAAATAGGCTCCCCCAAAGGAAAATTACATAAATTCTGGGATTATTATTATTAAATAAAATTATCATCAATAATTGTTGCAATTAATGTATATTTTTAGTCACAGATTTTGAACGAACGATATTCAATGTAAGAAATCATTTTCATCTTTCATTCTATATAGTCAAGTTTTGTCGACAAATATACAACTATACTACCCATTTAAAATATTGTAATAAAATTATATTATTCACCAAAGCGACCAGTAAAGAGGCCACAGGTTTTAAGTATTTGTTTTTTATCAGACAAGGAAGAATACATGGGTTATGATATCGAAATCTATGCTCATAAAGTTACAATAAGGTCAAATGTATCATATGTATATATAATGATTCTCGAATGTACCAAGAACTTAGACTATTTGTTTGTTTATTTTAAAAACATATCTTTACAAATATTCATTGTATAAATCAACAAAACAAAATAGATCATTTTAAAATGATGGTCAATTCAAACGGTATGACTTTGTTACACATAAACCTTATATATTGTTTGTTGATAACTGAAATAAATAAAATCGTATTTTACAGACAGAATGACCTTATAACAATCAACATTATTTTCTTTTTATCAAAAAACATGAATTTAAAAATGAAACCATGAGCCGTTTTCGATTGATTAAAATTTCAATAAATTTTCAACGGTAAATGAGATAGTCAAAAGTAACTGTACTTAAATAATGGAATTACATCTTTAAGTGTTGCCAATAGAGATATGAAATTTAGTTTTTGACTAGATATTGATTATTCTTAAATGCCAGAAAGATGGTGAATATGATCTCAACAGACCTGTTGCCAGTTAAATCAACCTTATTCAAATAACACTGAAATGAATGAAGTGATTAGTACACTTATGATCATTATAAGCAACCTAGTACGTGCATATATTTTGACTAGATACTTTTGTAAAGCTGTTACGTAGTAGTTCTCAGTTATTAAACTTTTATATATTTAAATAAGCTCCCATGTCCACAGAAATGATCATGAAATCAAGAAATTGGTAATTAATAGGCGATCACTTCTTCTTAACCACTTATTAAGGTTTATTCATTTTATTTACAGATGATGGTTGAAAGATAGATTTAGATAGCAGAATAATATCCATTAATGGATTTGACACTAGGATTTAATGGTCTGTTGCTAAATCCATGTGACTTAATTAATTGTTATGTATTGATCTCACTTCGATAATGACCGAAGTATTAGTATCTTCAGTTATCAATCGAGCATAAAAATAATCTACAAACCTCAAGGAATAACAGTTGTTTATTTCAGAATATGAAACGTCTTTATTAACCTATTAACTTGTTCTTAGACCGCTGTCTAAGTTGTTTTCAATTTTCTAGTTTATTTTTGGACTCATTTAGTTCTCTTTAAAGATAGTTGGCTATACGGACATTCGAAAATATCATGATGTTTAATGACACGAATTTTGAGTTATGTTAAAATCTATTCAAAAGTCAACCTGCAAGTTCGCCGGTGAGGATAAACTCCACTCTCGATCAAAATTTTCACCTTGCACCCAGCAACCAATCATAGTGAAGTCGTAATCTGTGAAGCATGATGTGTTTCGTTCTCTGTTATTTTTTCTGGCTTACATGAAAATGTAAAGATTTCTACGAAGAAAGTACCATTCCATCGTGCTACGGACGTGTCAAGTGTAAAACACTCAATTATGATGGAAGAAATAACAACCTTTATTACTGACGACGATACACTTTGATAATCTGACAAAGTGCAGCTTATCCTCAGCTGAATTCGCTACACGTAGTATTGTTTTTGAATAAACGCAAATTATCATGAGAACGAAAGTATAATTTGAAGATGAACAAATTAGAACTTTCATATTGTGTAACACGTATATGTGATGTGAACAATAATAATGTATTATGAAGAAGACTTATGGAAGTCAAACTGTTATCATCCTCCCTATCCATCAGTCAGTATCAACTTCTTACAAATTATAAATACACAGGTGAAACTCAACAAATATCAGTAGAGCTACCTACAGAGTCGTTTCTCTACATTGTGATTTAATTTACTACACAAAAATCATTTTACATTGACAGACGGGGAGATTAACTTATATGAATTGATCAGTTTTTTATTAGTCATTGTACAGTTTCATAGACTCTAGGCTGTAAAACAACATTAATTTGGAAATCACTTCATATAACTTCAAACAAAATTGCAGTGAACTTATTACTTATTAATCGGATATTAAAAACAAACAATAGTTTTTCTTAAGTTATCATGAACTTTCGCACAAATTTGAAACTTACTAAAAGGTGAGTAGAAACTTGGTACCTGAAAATATCCTTAGGAGTTGTGAACGCATTTTTAAAAGTAAACTATATACTAGATAATCAGGATTAATCAGAATAAGATTAAGTGGATTCAAACAAAATTGTAAATCGTATTCCGTCAAGTTGATTATATGATTGACTGGTTCATCTTCAACCCACTGATCAAGCTACCAAAATTCGTATTCAGAAACCTAACCTTTGTACTCAAAATAACCTCTACCTTGATCATTGACACAGATTAAATAAGCGAAGCCTACAGCAGAACTATGATTTATATTTTCTAAGCTTATTTTACATTTGCGTTCTTGTATAATTTTAAGATTAGTCTCTTTCGTCTTACGTTAATATTATTAGATTCGCTTCAAATCAAAATATTTTGCAAATTCTATCTTTGAATATTATGTAACTTATCATCCGTTAAATTACATATTTTCAAATTTTACAAATAATTGTCTTGGTTTATACGAATATTCGTCAGTATTAGTACGAATAGTTTGACAAAAATTGGGCGCCAAGTATAGAGAAGATATTATATGTTTGACCTGAATAAGTCCAGATAAGTTCGCTAGACGAAACGTCTGAATTATTTAAATGTCAATCACTGAAATTATTTCAAATATAATTTTCACATATAGATACCTTGATTGTTTGTAATTATCTTATCCACCTCCTGTTAGTTACTTAGTTATTTAAAGTCAGTCTCGTAATTACTTATGATGCCATGATATAATTACGTAACACTATAACTCGAGTAGTGTAGAGTCATGATGAAAAACTAATTAAAAGAATATATTTTACTGCTCTTTGTTTTTTTAATAAGTAAATAAGAATCTATAGGATGAAATGAAAATTATAATTCAGAACTCAGTTTACACTAACTATCAGTTACATGACAACCAAATCAATAAAAGAAATAATTTAAAAGAAACTGTATATTTATAGGGAAACATTTATGTTAAATTACAATTTGAAATTAGATGTCTGTTTATAAGTACATAGATATTTATCGTATTTGCATGTAATATATGGATGCCTAAATTAAAGTGCCCAGTTGACTTAGTGTATAGTTCATATCTCTTCTTAGTCTGCATACATAACATGAAGAACACCATATCCATTGACAGCAGTCTGAAGCTATTCCACCCTATAATGAATATAACAATAATTAGTCAACATGAATTTATAGCTGTAATCTAAAAAACATTTTTTAAAGTGAAATCTTAATTTATAACTGTTAAATTATCGGCTCTTTAAAGAATCACCTGACATTGCTGCTTGATATACGCTGATGATGATGATAGCTCGGATCAATGGAATAAATTTCTTCTGGCCAAAGAGAATCACCCACTCACCTGCCTCTTCAGAAATGTCCATTTTATTTACAAAAGATGATTTTATAGTAGATATTTTCCATAATAAAGTATTCAACGGACCGAGTTTAAGTTGAATAAAACCTCATTACCCTATTATTAGAATTCAACTCTGAACGTTTGATTATTGTCTATTTTACAAAGTTTGTAGCAAACCGTTTAATAAATACGTGCAAAGGTCAATTCTTTAATGAACGGGTTTTAAATGCAGATAAATGTATCATAAAGGTTTCAGTCTCGGTTCATTATTTATGTATGTACTCACTAATAACGTTTATCCAGGCACCTTTTAAAAATATGCCTGTCTTTACTTTCTAGGGTGTGTTGTGCAGCTTATTTATTGCATATTTGAACGGTAATATCCAAATCTAAATAGTAGTTTATACAGTGATTTGTAAAACATGCCAAAATTTAAACTCTAACCATTCATTTTGTTTGTCTGCAAAATCATTATGAATGGAAGATGAGGCCATAAATAATAGACAAACCATAGAAGTCAAAGATAGCAAGTCTTGGATTTTGGCTCAAAGTTCATTCATTCATACTCTTAAATAGAATTTTAGCATTATTGTTGATTTCAGTTAGTGTCTAGTTTCTAACCTTAACTTCCAACTCCAAATCCTAACCTTGATTCCTCATACCCTAGAAAATAGTTGAATTATTTTCAAGGTTACTGTAGCATCACTAAAAGATGATCCATAAACTATAGTGTTATCGAATGGAATATAATATTCCTAACACATTCATTATTAGAACTTTTTATTATCCCGTGATCATGTTTTACGCAACGTCCACAGTTTTAGAATTAAATACGACGTTAATGTGGGATATTTTAACATGGGATCACAAACTATTGAAATCACATGGCAAAATCTAACTTTTTATTCATAAAATCTTCTAATATTCCATCGATTTTCTATCAAATAAAATGTGTTTTAGACTTCTTTTTCTCTTTTCTTATAAACTTGATGAATGATACACTGTTTAAAAAAATGGCACTAGAATATCTTGGATTTCTGTAGTCACATTACATTTGAATTTTAATGTTTGTCTTTACATTATTGAACGAATTCTAACATTCAATTCATACTATAATCTCAATGTATTTTGCCCTTTTATCACTTGACAAAGGCTTTTTTGATACAAATAAATGATAACTGACAAAAGATACTGCTAAATTCAACATTGCACGTTTATTAAAGCGATATACGCTGTATGTAAAGATAAAATATTTTCATTTCCATGAGTATTTCAACGTTATTATTGAGGCTTAACAAGCCAGTTTAATCTCACTATCATTTGTAAAGTGCATTCTTGTTATTAGAATATGTATATGCAACTCAAAAATGCTCTATCAACTATCCATCGAAAAGGAATGTTCAGGTTCTTTTAAAACCACATTTTCTTATATTAATTTTTCTTTGTTTCTATTTAATTGATATAAAAGTGATTAATTAGGCTTCTTAGTTATTTTAGATAACATTGCTTATCTGTTTGTATAGTGAGAAGTACTTCCCTAACTAAACTTCATAGATGATATGAGTTTAGAATGTTTCCACTTACACTCAACTTAAAGTCTGTTTGGATAATTTTTCTTGTCATTATTGTATGAACTAAGATTGATATCAATAATCTTGAATAATGATTCATAATTGAGAAAAATACAACACGATAATAAACTCACTTTAATTCTTTGACGTGCACGATGTTGTGTTCCCAGTACAAATTCAGATGCCGGTACGATTAATGGTGCACAACAACATTCTCCATAATCACGATACATTAAACATACTGAACATGAATAACAGAAAAATACACAACAACCTAGAAAAAAAGTGAAAAAATTATTGTGTTATTATAAGGTTGGAAGAAAAAACAAATACTTTCAGTTTGTGCTGCTTAATTTCGATCTGCTAAATATACATCTATCATATGCATGGGCATATCTTTTGTGGCTCCAAATCTGACTCCAGGTTGATCATGTAAATGATTGTTACTGAAATATACATGTCGGCTATCCTAGTATATAATTATTGACCTAATCCACGTTAGTGAATAATGGAATTAAATAAGTCGAATACGAGAATGGAAGGAAGCAAAGAGAAAAGAGCGGGGCTAAATGACGCGTGAACCAACTCAATTTAATCAAACATGAACCAATATTTATAGCCAGATAAAAATAAGTTACAGACATGTAATGTATAGGATAAGAAATGAACACACGCATACGCTCGCATAAAAACAATCAAGGTTGATAAGTGAATTACTGACAAGGTTAAAATGTAGCTTGGGTAGAATAAATAGACTGATCTGTCCAAAGGCTGGAATAATCTATGTAGGCTTAACATAGTATCTGACACTATACATCTTGCTACTACACATTGCAGAATAATAAGGAAGATAAAATAAAGTTAAAAATTTAAGCTGTAAAGTTTAAGAGTGATTTATCACAAAAAATAATTGCCCTCTTCATTCAATACAAATAAAGGAGTTACTTGAAAGCCGAAAAAAAACCAACATCTGTTTAACTTTTACTTCTCTAGCCTAATAAAGGAAGAGAATGGTATAAAGTAGTAATTTCAAGCAGGTGACAGAAATATCTTCCGAATAATGTAAAGAAAATAATCCAGTCTGATGAAAAAAACTCTGTGTTCTAAGCATTATATAAAAATAGGAATTATCTAATTACTGAGATAATAAAGATAATGTATTGCATATGCGCAACATTCAATTATAGGCCATAACCTGAGCACTTAATTTAATTTATACCATATAAATATCTGATTGCCATTTGATAAACGGCAGATGTTTTGGATTTACTTCGATAGTTGATAGTAAAATATTTGTATACTTTGATATAAGTACATTTCTTTATTGGGTTCATTCAGACGTCTTCGACCAACATAATCAACCTCCAAATTACTAATGTACTCTTTGGTACAATCTTTAAAAGTGATTACTCATTTATTCATTAGATCCTTTTTAGTCTGAAATAAACTATCCGTGATTTATTGCCTTACAAGTATCTATTCAACGCTTTCAAAACTACACACTTAAATTAATAGACGAAAATTAAAAAAGTAATTGATTACATCTTGTTAGAGGTAATATAAACATTTTAATGTGTCGTTTATCTAACAGTTATATTCTTTTACGCATCAAAAATACACTAATTTCAGCCGTGTCATTTATGTTACTAAATCATCGGATTTGGCTGATTAACTGATATTAGTAAATAAAACAATTAACTGTATGGGCTAATACGAATGAAATCAAAGTTAACCATTTGAGTTCTTGGATAAAGATTTGTTGTTATTGATCACTTTCTATCAGTAACCAGCATAAATAAACACTTAAAAGTTTTCATTGATCAATTAAAAGACTGTTTTTCGTATATTCAAATTACATTCACATTAAATTTACATTGTTCCATGCATATATTTCATACATAACCAGTAGAACATAGAGAAAGAATACAATACTATTCTGCACAAGATATTAAATTGCTTTACATATAAATATAAAAGAAATTAGGATAATGATGTTGATTGGTTAATCATAGTATATTAGAAATGAAAAGTTCAGAATTGTTTATCAAATAATGTTTATATATAACTACTTAACTTTATCTAGTTTAGTTCATCGAAACTAACGAAATTAAAATTTAACAAAGAACATCTGTTGAACCATTTATTTATTGAAATAGCCCCCAAATGCCCTGGTACGGCCGAGAGTGGGGAGAGTCCGCTCTCCTTCTCGAAATGCTCTCACATGGCCACGCGTATATAGCCTCTGCCAGGGAAGTTTCACTCACTGCATACTCGTGGCGGGCATGTTGTTTACGAAATTGAGAGGACGAAAAGCGAATGTCCGGCGCTTTAACAGGGTTAATGGACATGGAGAATCCGCCTAGGGGAGTTGGAAAACCCTGACTCCAAACCAATGGTGCACCTGGGCTCCAGTATCCTGAGGGACCGAATGGCGAAGGAACCAATCGTCGGTCACCGGCTACCATGGGGCTGCATCTCCTTACGTTGCTCCACTGCCTTGTGGATCAAACCATTAAGTCAAAGGCTCCGGGTGTGGTCCCCTAAGAAAACCACCTGCTTTGGTTTGGGCACCCGGGCAGTATCACAGCCGCCACACATATCAAATGAGATCTGTGTCGCGCATATGTATTTGGTGTCTCCTTGTACCAACATCTATGTGTTAAATAAATAAAAAAAATAAAACTATTGGAATAATTTTATATTTACCGCCATAATATTCACTATTGAAACATGTTGTAACATTGAACTTTTACTCATTAATTAGTTTTCATATTTATTATTTTTAATATTCTACATTTACTACTTGAATCAACAAAGTTAGTAAAGAAAAAGAATCTTACTTTTAATAAACTGATAGTCAGACAATAAGTTGAATACTTTTAATAATTCCTAAGTCACAATGTTTGTTATTTACATGATTTCAGCTTTAGCGCATATTTTAAATCTAAATATGATGGATGTAATCCAGAAAAAAAAGATTCACATATGCTACATAAAGAGAATTTATATCTCATTTTAAACATTCATATGAGTTTAGTAGTCATTTTGTTTTCTATTAAATTAGAAGATAAAACATGAATGGATAATAGAAATTAATGAATTCCAAGATATATGTTTCATACTATTTAAGGTTAATCAATAAATGAAGTAAATATCATTACTAGAATCAACAAACTGACGAATTTCAAATAAAATGTAACAGACTTCTTGAGTTTTACTACTACTCATTAACTATCTTGACTTAGAAACTTAAAACTCAATAAATACAACAAAGTAATATTGTCAAGATATAAATATTGCCAAAAGATCCTAATGAAAATTTAATTAATAACATCAACTAAAAAAGATTCAAAGACTTACAGATAACTAATGAATAATTTCAGAAGAGGTTTTTGTAGATATTATAGTTATTTCAATAGATGGAATCATGAGTAAATTGAAGCTAGATCACCATGAAAAACCTGGAAGTATTGGTCAGCCGTTTCGTCCTATTGTGAGACTCTTCAGGAGCGCGCGCCCACGATCCCACCCCACAGGATTTGAACCCAAGACCTATTAGTCTCGCGCGTGACCACTTAACCACTAGACCGTTAGTCTAGTGCTTCCAGGTTTCCCATGGTGGTTTAGATTCAATTGACTGATGATCTCAACTGCCGAAATTAATGAATAAATCACTATTTGATATAAATATATATGCAAACATAAACGTCATTTCGAAAGTCAGAAACTAATCATTGAAGTATATTGATCAAGAAAATTTTATAGATCGAAATTGTTATATAGATAATTGGCAGATAATTAAATCATACATATTTACTTAATTTAGCAATATCATTAAAACAAAATATGAACTGAAATAACTATCAAATTCACTAAATACATAATACAATCTGATAATTAAGTATTAGATATTTCAACAGTTGAGATCATGAATCAGTTGTAGCTAGATCACCATGAAAAACCTGGAAGCATTGGACAACCGTTTCGTCCTATTGTGGATATTTGTAGATATTTGTCAATTGGACTGTTATCTGACCAATAAATTATTTCTTTTCATAGCCCTTGATTAATAGATAACCTCATTTGTTATTTAGTCTTGAATCCATTTTAGAATGCAATCTTTTCTATCCTCCTGTAGACATATATTTTTCATATTAGATAATCTATGGAAATCTGATAACCAATTATCAATAGATCAATTAAGATAAATAAATTCTTGATATTCATTAATGATTTCATGAGTAAACGTTTAAGCTGATCACTTAAATTCATCTTTCAATTTCTTAAATCATTCACGATAGACAATATCAAATGGATTAATTTGTTGACATTTAAATGGTGTTTTACAAATAAATGTAGACATCTTTCATTTAAGAACATTATCTCAGTATGTTTTATCTTGACTTGCTTTAATTAATTGTAAATACGTTTTATATGTTTCTCAGGAATATGAATACGACAGATATTATTAGTAAAATTGGATGTTCATAAAACAAAATAGAAAAAAATATAAATAAATGTATCTAAAAATCAATTAGGTCAGAGCATCAACTGCCATGTTCACCACTTACATCAACAGACATAAGTAGTATGCAAAACCAGTCAGAAGTGTAGTGTCTGACAGCAAAATCTTAAAGAGATCGAAATAAAGAGAACAGAAATGTAAATAGAAAGAAATTTTGATAACAATAAGAAAGGAACAATGAGGTTATTGAAAGGCAAATCATGAAAGATTGGCAGATGAAGAATTGAACGTATGGTTTTCACATTTAATCGACGAAAACTATGATTTTTCATTGAACAATGAATTGAAATTTTCCAGTTGAGATTTCGCTCACAAAAAAAGCGTTAGACGGAATACCTTCAGAGCCTCAATTTTCTATTAACCATTTTTTCATGGTTCTAAATTTACATTATATTGGCGCTCAGAACTAATGTAGTGAACAAGAACACAAGTGATGACGATTAAATGTATTTGAACACAAAGTTACAAAATCTAAGTAAAATCTGAAAACTACACACCAAATAATTCCATTTGCATAATCTAAAGCAATTCTCTCACGCTTCATTGTTCATTCGTTTCCAAACCAAACACACTCTGTTCTCGTTCTCTTCTCCTCCTCCATCTTATTAACTTTCTTACAAAATACATTTCACTCTCGATTGATGATACATACTACTTATATCTGTCGACATCAGTAGCACACAACACAATCACATCAATCAATAACAATATACATAACAATTCCTCATCAACACTAATCTCTTGTTTATTCAACTATACGATCTCAGTCGCATAATCTATCCAAGTATGTAGAGATTAGGAAATATATACACATATCTATAACACTGTATGATACAATTCCAACGAAGCAATCCCATTTGTAGTAGATCTAAGGTGGGAGAATAAAAGCCTAATTAAATCATTAATCCAAAGATAATAATTGTGATACACATTCTTTTCATCATGTTGACTGCAATGTCTATCAATAACAGACAAGTTGCGTCGAAACTTTCAATTGACTTTACTTATTTAAGAATAAAAGATGAAAATTACATTTTGTTTTCTTGTTTGTCTTTTGCCTGTTCTTCAAAAGATGTAAACAAATCGATACTTTTTTAAAATGGGGAATGAAAATGGGATCGTTTCTTCTCCAAATATCAAAATGGGATACATGTCGAACAATTGAGCTTCTTACAAAAACATATTTTTATAAATCTGTTGAGTTTACTATTACTGTATAAATAAATAAATAAATAAATAAATAAATAAATAAATAAATAAATAAATAAATAAATAGACGAACTTTGTATTCACATGGTATTGTTTGTTTACATGAAACTTCTCACTGATGATTACGACTGCATTTGATCAATCTGTTATTAGCATATGTGCATAATGTGTGAGTTGTCTCGTTGTTTCCATCAATCACAAACACTACACGAATTTCTAGAGTCAATAACTATCATGCTCCTAAAATATGATATGTGTGCTCATAAATAAATCTTTATCTGACAATACTACATTAACAAAGTTGAATGTCGGCCAGCTCAATTGTCTAGAGCTTAAGCGTTCGCGCGCGAGACTGATAGGTTCCCCGTTCGAATCTTGTGAGGTGGGATCGTGGATACGTGCTGCTGAGGAGTCTCACAATAGGACGAAACGGCTATCCAGTACTTCCAGGTTTTCCATGTTGTTCTAGTAACTATTAAGCTTTCATTTCCATTAAATTATTTCTAATAGATTGAATACGCCTTTTAACTATTAAAAATGTTATAAATGAGAAAACTATTAAAATAAATATAGAAAGTTATCTAGTCTACTAGGCAGTATGTTTTATATTTTTAATAAACATAACTAATTAACTAACTGATCATAATTTTCTTTATTATTTTTAAAATCATACGATATTTAATGTACATAAGGCATGTTTAAAACGATGTATCATCAAAAAGTATCTGTACTACAATTCAGTTAGTCCTATAAAATATGTAGCCATCATTAATGAACAAAACTTAATTTAAATAAAAACAGTAATGGTATTTAAAAGTAAACAGATGAAATTTATACTTAGTTTCAATACAGAATAACAAATAAACTCTTAGAAGTAACTATAAGTTTCTGATAAGAAAGTAAAGTTTCTAAATAATGTTAAGAATAATACCATGATTAAATATTATCATTAATGGTAGCAGCTATGATTTATTTCATTGGAAAGACTATTTCGAAAGAAACTAGGATTTTTTTTATATTAACAACTTGTTGTTTTAACTGAATTGATTTTAAACTTCTTCAACTGTTTAGATTTGTAATTAACCAATACGATAAACAATGAAATAACGTAATATGGCTTTTTATGGGTTGATATCAAAAACAGAAACAACTGAAAACTAAGGGAACTGGATAGATGTTTTTTCAGTAATGTGAATACTCTCTCTTATTAAGATGGTGGTTGGAGGTAGTCACCAGGAAACTATGGACCTAGGTTTCATGCTGCTCATTACTCGCCAACAAGGTGTGACTGTAATCTAGAGAGAACTGATACTTCCTGATGGATTCGATCCCATGTCACCCAGCTTTACAATTAGAGACGTTACCACTGAGCTATCCGTGCCACAACTGAAGTTCTATAGGATTGAGATGTATTTACAATTGATTGATCATTGGGTAGTGATCATTGTCAAATGTGTCAGATCCTTCTTAGTTCAGAACGAATCATATCTCAACATAGTGCACTCAATGTCGAGTCACCCAAACTGGTGGCCATACTGCCCCGGGAGTCAGAAGGTTTTCATTTAGAAGAATTATGACGCCTCATGATAAAAGTTGAGTTTCTTCATAAGCCACAAGGCCGATGCTCCATCTAACAACCAAGACAACCATTTATTTAGGTACATGGAATACTCGTGCAATGTGGGACACCGGGAGAGTCTTCCAAATTGCTGCAGAAATGAGAAGATACAACCTAGAGGTGCTTGTGATCAGTGAAACATATTGGACACAAGTTGGACAACAACGACTAGCTTCAGGAGAGCATCTATTGTACTCTGGCCATGAAGAAGAAAATCCCCCACATACACAAGGAGTTGCATTATTGCTGTCCAAACAAGCACAAAATGCACTTATACAAAGGGAATCTCATGCACCAAGGATAATCAAAACCATCTTCAAAATAAAGAAATAGGGCATTTCAATGAACGTCATCTAATGCTATGCGCCTACCAACGACCACAATGAAGACACCAAAGGCAAATCCTACAATAGGCTGCAGTCAATCATCGAGAAGTGCCCAACAAAGGACTTGATCATTCTGATGGGAGATTCAAATGCCAAGGTTGTAATGGACAACACCGGATATGAAGACATCATGGGACGACACGGACTGGGAGAAAGAAACGAAAATGGTGAGAGATTTGCAAACCTATGTGCCTTCAATAAACTGGTAATAGGCGGCACCATATTCCCACATAAACGCATACACAAAACCACATGGACTTCACCGGATCACACCACGCCAAACCAAATCGACCATATTTGCATCAACAAAAAGTTCAGGAGGACAATGGATGATTTGAGAACCAAGAGAGGAGCTGATATAGCATCAGATCATCACTTGCTGCTCGCCAAGATGAAATCGAAACTCAAGAAGCACTGGACAATGAGGCGGACAATATCACAAATGTTCAATACGGCCTTTCTTCAGGATACTAGCAAACTCAAGAAATTCAAGATAGCCCTCAGCGATAAGTTCCAGGCCTTTCATGATCTACTCAATGGAGAAGGAACTACTATGGAGAACAACTGGAAGGGGATCAAAGAAGCAATCACTTCAACATGCCATGAGGTTCTGGGCCACAAGAAGCACCATCACAAGGAATGGATCACTGTTGATACACTGGATAAGGTTCAAGAAAGAGGGAACGAGAGGGCAGCAATCAATACCAGCCGAACAAGAGCGGAATAAGTCGAGGCACAAGCTGAATACACAGAAAAAACCCAAGCAAGTGAAGAGGAGCATCAGAACCGACAAACGTCAATATGTGGAAGATTTAGCAACGACGGCGGAAAAGGCTTCAAGAGAAGGAAACATGAGACAACTGTATGACACGACAAAGAAACTCTCTGGAAATCGCCGCAAACCA